TGTGCACGTGAGTGGCGCCGCTTTCCGCTACACCCTCTCGGTTCATTCTCGGACATTATCAGTAAATTATCCGGCCAATATTGCTAACAATACAGGAAGAGCATCTCGTTCTGGGCTAAGTTTCGGCCGCATTGGAGACAGCACTTCTTTTGCTACTGAGGATTCCATTTCGATTCGCTGCTCAAGAATCAGTTCGGTATTGGCACTGCCCAGGGGGAGGGGGAAGACTCCCTCTAAAGGCATCTATCATAGATATAAGTGAACTTTTCCGTTGCCCCTTTGATATACTGTCGACATTCAGGACCAAAATTTCGTCATCTGGAAGTGTTTCAGTCAGCAAACCCTTCCAATGGGGATGAAGAAGGAAAGATTCGAAAGTGCTAACACAGCACGCCTTCTTCGCCGCCCGTCTCATTCCGATCACATGTCGAAAATATGTTAAGAAAACAGGGGCATTCAGTGAGTGAGTTTAGACCAGACACTTTGACCTGCGCTGGTCGTGAACAACCCAAACGACCAGCAAATCTTAATTTTGAGAGCAAGATGCAGGAGAAATGATCACTTTGGACAGCTGACACTCAAAATGTCCCCGATTTTCAAAGAAATGCCGCAAGGTTTGAAGCAATAACACCAACTGGTCATATGTAAGTAAGTAATAACTACTGTTTGTGGTTTTGAGAAAGATTTCGGAGCAAAGAATTATTGAGTCAATGCAGCAGCAAGACAAGTGTAACAAATGAAAGAGAAAAATTAAACACTATTCGAAAAAGGTTCGCTTACTTCTCAATGCAGGTGTTCATTGTATTATGTCCCATATATCCGAGAACACAGAAGACGACGAGAGCAGTATAAAGTGATGTAAGGACGTTACATAGAGCCAACCATTTAGCATCTTTTTTACAATCATTTTTGACAGGATTGTAAGAGCCGAAGGCAATTAGTCCTAAACAGGATAAAGATCACGTGGAGCAAAAAAAATTATGTAATGGTAAGTTGTAAACAGATAAGAGAGTAGGGCCAACATTTCAATTCCGCATCAAAGGGTACCCCCAGGAGGCCCGTCGCGCGGCAAGAAGGCAAAGTCAGCGGACGAGTCGCGCGCGTACTATAGGGATTTCGCGTCAAGTTAAATAGAGTGTCCCACTGCACGTCCTACATCGCACACCACGCGCTGCGATTCG